TATATATATATAGTCTTTTTTCAGAAATGTTGGACTACTTTGCACATTCAGTATGGCAATATATTGTATGCGTTCACTCCTCAGTATATAGGACCGTTCTGATATTTATTCCTAAACTTATTGTGGTTGTTTTAGATGTGGGTTCGCATATCCACTTCCGTAGCTGTATCTGGCTGTAACTCCTGCTATGTGTTACAGGTCTATAGGATATACAATTCAGTAGATAGGTTACAATTTCTTTTGTTGTGTGTTGTCATTTTTTAGCAGACGGTATGCTGCAGAGAAAGTAAGGTAGACACATCCCCTCATTTCAGTAGTGCATGTTTCATTTGATGTCGAATTCCAGCCACAACTTGCTTTTCTAGTTTTGGACAGATTGTAGAAGGGTTGGAACCTCTGTCAGGGCTTTACTGCTGTCTACTTTATTGGAGTGGCTTCATTATTTTTCTTGCTGATCATTTTCACTGGGTTAGAAAGTCACAAGAAATTCAAAATGTTATACTTGTCACTGGAACTGCATGTGAATGGATGTCTTCCAGTAGGGACACCAGGCAGCTATGTCATTTCTCTTTGATTTGGGGAAATTCCTGCTACGTGTTTGGGTTTTTAAAACAGGAAATTAGGTAAAACCTTTCCAATGGGTTCACTGTCTAAACTAACCTATGAGGTTCTAACCCTTTCCCACTCTATTATACCCCATAAATGAAGTATGAAGTTCTACTTTAAGATATTAAGCAGCCTTGGGCTCACTGTCTTTTAATCCCTGTTCTTGTGTACGTGTTATATTAGTGTTGGGGGATTATATTGGGGACAATTAGGTGGTACTAGCACTGATGCTCTGAGGAGCTGCAGAGAACACTGGTCAGATAACCTTGTCACTTGTATATAAAACATACCAGCTAAAGGAGGACTGCATATACCTTGCCACTTGTTGTGGTTCCTCCAACCAGCTAATACAATATGTAGTGACATATGAGCCAGCAGAAGTGTGTGAATGCTTGCAGAGTATGGTGAGCAGTGATCTGGTGGCTTTTCAAGAAACGGACCACTGGGAAGTTGTGTATATGCAGTCGTCATTTTGCAGGTATGTTGTGCTTACAAGAGCCCTCATGATACAAAATGAACACTGGATGAGAAACAACTGGAAACCAGGGCTGGGCTACGACATAAAAGCTGTCCTTACATACTCATGTTTGAGCACCTTCAGCTTTGCGTAGTCCAATTAGCACAGAGAGTTGTCATAGTGTACATTAGGGGTTACCCTGTGAATGGGGCTGCCAGGACGTAGAGTAGCCAATGAAAGCTCAAACCAACATATTAATGCTTGTAGACCCACCAGCTTCCCCTTAATAGTCCCTTATCATCCCTCTGCTTGCCTCCAAGAATAAAATCGCCCTCAGCGGAACATTCTAGCACTACCACGGTTGCAAGTAAACCAGATGGAGTTTTGGCTCAATCAGGATCTGAAAATGCATGACATTTTTCATTTGAGATACCTGCTACAGCTGACAAGACGATGTCCATCTTCCTCCACCCTTCTCCTTTGCAGTATTATGTGTACTTCTGAATGACAGGTGCACTTTAATGCAGATACATTCTTCCATCCTAGGAACCTGTGGCTGTTCTCCATATTTGATCATTTTCCTATAGTTTAGACACCTTACTCCAAGGTCTCCTGAGTTTAAGGTACATATGTCGTCTTCAGATTTTGTGTAAGACACTAAACCATCTAGCTAAACATACATCCCCCCGCAAATAACTCAGTCATGTAACCTCCTGAGCATTTGTCAGATGGCACAGTGCTGGCCACCGTCTGCCCTTGTATTTTCAGTCTTAAACTGGTGGCTATGTAACATTTACTCTCTGGTTGTTGTCCCAACCTCTTCCCCAGCCCCAGCCTTGATGAAGAAAAATGAATTGTAGAAGATTTGAATTGTTAAAAGAGATGTATATATAATCTAGTTTGAGGAGGAAGCAAAAGGTTCTTCCAGGTGAGCTACTTAAATTGCTTTATTTCAAATAAACGCCTGCTTCTGTTCTGCAGGTATTGAGATGAGACCATACCAGGGCAATTGTTGAAGTCTTAATATATCGTTCTGAGTTGAAATGACTTTCCATTTTTACATTTGTTTTATCAGTCCCGATTTTGTAACCAGAAGCATTTCACCTTTCTGGTATCCCTTACGTGCAGTACTCTTTGCAAGCACCTTACCAAAGATTTAAAGAGTTTCTTCAGTAAACTAATGCCTGGGATGCCATATTCCATTCAACAGGCTGCCTCTAATTTGGTCTTAAAGTCGGCAGACGTCTGTGAAAGGCGCTGGGCCCATTCTGGCGGTGGGAGGGAGTGAAGGATTCTGAGAACTCTGAATACTGTAGTAGTGGCAGAGTAGACGCAATGGACAACAAGGTGGGTAGCAGATTGTGTAATAGTGTCACACATACTTGCTGCAATGGCTTGCCATTAGAAGGCTCACCTGCTTGTCATGTGAGGTGTAAATATTGCGGTCGGCTGCAATCTCGGCGTGTTCTGTGCCGCCATGGTTGTAGATGGAATTATTTTTTAATTTTTTGGAACATACTGCTGTTCTTGGAAAATGGCCGAAGTAAATGGCCCAATTTGAATGAATCAAACTGAATCTCAGTTGTCTTTAGTGTTAGACGTGAAAGGACTGGTTGGGCTATAATTAATGATGATCTACAAATAAAGAAAAATCAATATTTATTTTCACTACTTTTACCAGTTAAAAGCACGAAGCCCCAGACAGTGATGGACAATAGCTTGTATAGTATTGTGTATATTTTATATGAACTCGATTTTTCTTTCAAGGTGCTGTCCAATGTCTAAAACTAAAACCATAAACAAGTTTTTGGTTGTGGGATTGCTCCCATATACAATTGGGTAAGTTGAGAAACACATTGTGGCAGCTTTAAAACACATTTCATTCTGGATCAGAGGGGCGCACAGAATAGGGTGTTCAGGATAATAAAGGTAATGGCAGGTGCCTTGGAGTACTTTTCACATTACAAGTAAAATTCAATTGATGAATATAAATGTTACTGTAACCACTCTGAGTGTCATTACAGGGTACCATACTGGTACTTGCATGGTCCATAATGGAATGCCTAAGGCCTTTCACATGGGCTGATCAGGAGGGAATCCATGAACAGATCCACTCCTGATCAGGGCCGTACAAATCAGATGTCACCGCTGTGACATTTGTGTCCCTCCCAGTTTTTTGTTTCCCCCCCTCTATCTTGTGATGGAGAAACCTGAAATTACTTGACCCATTTTTGTTTATGGGGAATTAGATGTAAATTTACACTAGATTACCCCTGATACGGCACGATTAGGTCCGTCCAAACAGAGCACTGTTCCGTTAGTTTTTCCAGACCTGGCTGCTGCCAGGGGTAACAGGGTGTGAATGGACACCCATCCATCTAGACCTGGCTGCCCATAGACTAGCATTGGGCATCTGATCGGGTCCGCCTAAAAAAAACTGACAAGCAGACTCGATCTGAGGGGCCTCATCGAAGGCTTCATCCACAATCACACAATCTGCTCCTTTTACATACAAACTACATAATATACTTCTTATTATCAACATGTCTGTTTACAAGTGTCCCATTTTAAACTCTGCTAGCCAAAGTTTGGATGTAGCTATGCACGTGGAAATGGTGAAACGTTGCCTAACAACACATTTTCACATGTTTTTGAATGGAGAAGACTGAAAACTTCCAGGCTGCAAACCTTTTAACCTCGGTGCAACTCATCGCACTTAAACACACTAATGCTCAAAATGATATGTTTTTTTAACGGTCTGAGTAAGAATAGATCCTAGGATAGATAGATATATTATTGGATGTTTATAAGTTTTTGCATAACAAAAAGACAAGTAGAAAATCCACTTATAACAGATACAAAGTCCACAATGCCCAAAGCAGAATGTAGACCGGGTTTCTCAGAGATAAGCCTAGAAGGACATTGCTTAAAGTGACACTACACTCAGGAGTTAAGTCTTAAAAATACATTCCAGTACTTTAACTAGTAACAAAAATGTATCTTATGTGTATCACTCAGCTGTAGATCCTCAAATCATCTCTGAATTGGTGCTGACACTGTCCTTCCTTCTGGAGGGTGGCTACTTTTCTTCCCAATGGTCCCTGTGTGTGTTGTAAAGTAGTCACTGCTCCAAGCTCACTCCCATGATGGGCTACAATCTCACGTTTAGTTTACTAATTTGTATTGAGATTGTAGTGCATTACAGGAGCGAGCTTGGAGCGGTGGCTGCTTTTTAACACACACGGTGACCATGGGG